CTTGATTTTCGCGCAGGTCATGATCTCAGGGTTGTGGGATCAAACCCCACACTGGGCTTCACGTCGGGTTCCACGCTGGGTGTAGAGCCTGCTTAAGTTTCTGTCTGTCTCCGCCTCTCCCCCTGCCGCTCCCCCCTCTAAGAAAATAATAATCTATTAATGACAAGTTCCTCTTAGATTTAGGGCAAATTGTACTATAGTCTCTACGATATAATCACATTTGGAAACATTTATAATGAGAGATTTACGAATGACCAATGAGCCTATGAAAAGATGCCCAGCGTCTCTAGTCCTCAGGGACCTTTTTTCAAGACGAGCACGACTAAGCGTTGGCGAGAACAACTGGAACATTCGTCCACTGCTGATGGGAGTGCAAAATGGTGCAGCAGCTTCGGACAATACCTTGATGGTTGTTTATGTGGTTAAACTATACATTCACCGTACAACCCAGCAAACCCACACCAAGAGAACTGAAAACACATTTACTCTAAGGACGTTTACATGAATTCGTTTATAGCAGCATTATTCATAATTCATAAAGTCATACCTGAATAACAACCCAAATGTCCATCAACTGATGATCAGAGAAATAAAATGTGACATAGCCGTACATGGGAATACCACTCAGCAATAAAAAGAACAAAGGACTGATACACACAACACGGGTCAGTCTCAAGAACATGATGCTAAATGGAAAAAAACAGACTAAAAAAGCTACACACTGTGTGGGTCCATGCACATGACATTTTGAAATCAGATGGGTGGGTATTGGGGCCGGGAGAGGGGGAGAAGGTTGACTCAAGGGTTAGGCACAAGGGAATATCTTGGAATATCTTGGGTGTGGTGGTGCTTACACAATTGTACACAACAGCCAAAACTGACCAAAGTATACAGTTCAGATGGGGGAACTTAATAAAGCTGTACAAAATTTTAAAACATTCGGATATCTATGTAGAGCAAATGACTCTGTGCTTATCTCTGGTGATGGCATTTGGGTGCTTTTTATTTTCTTCTCTTTGCTTATCTAAATGTTGTAAAATTTCCACAATGATTATGGAGCATTTGTGTTGAGAGAGAAAAAACCAACAATAAAATGCCATAAACATACATAATTGGGTTATTCCACAAGGAACCTATTGTCGATTCAACATTGTTTGCTTGTAATGAAGCCCATTTGGGTTACCTCCTTCTCATCTATCTTTCGTCAGTGGCACTTCTCAGGGGTGAGCTGAGGAAACGGATGCAAAAAGGTACAGAGCTTAATAGCAATGCTTTGTCCGCCCAGCTCTCGGTTTGGCTCTCACCTGGGTTTCTGGATGAATACACAGTAGACTAATGATAGGGGGCTCTCGTCCTCCTTTGCCAGCTCCGCCCTCCATTCCAACCCAAATCAACTCATGCATCTTCCAGGCCCCAAGAGAAAGTCCTCAGCATAGGGTCGGGTAGACTGTGGTTTGTGGGGTCCCAACCGGACGCCTGCCTCCAGCTCACATTGGTCTGTTGAGGGCTGCATGGCCTTGGGGAAGTCAAGAGGCCATTCATCCATGGAGACCCCCACTTAGAATAGCCCCTCGTGCTGCACATGGCAGGACAGGACACGGAGTCCCTCCAAGAATCCTCAGAACTGGGGGTGCTCAGTGTCAACAGGTCTCTGGCCCTTTTCACCCATCACACATCCAATTCATCTTCAGACTTTCTGCCTATGAAAGGGCAGTCACCTTAGGAGACCCAACCAGCCCATAGGCGAAGGATGGCACATCAGGAGAAGGCTGCGTTGTTTACTGTGTCCTTGGGATAACTGGACAAGACTCCTGACAGGGTCCAGGTATTGGAACAGAGGATTCCGGTGAAGATAATAAAGCTATAGTTACAAAAATAACTTTATAAGCTCTCATCCCACGGAGGGAACATTCAATTTTCCAGCCACTCTGGTGAAGAAGTAAAGCCCAGCAGAAGCTCAGAACAGTGGGTTGAGTACAGGGAACTGAGACAAATTACAGCTTCCTTGATCTCTGCTTTCCCACCCATCAATGCTGAGTTGGGAGAGATCCTAAGTTTCTAACCTGGGGTCTCTGTCCTTAGGGTCACACAGGCATTATTTTCAGGAATTTCTAATATCTTAAAACTCTGCATATTATTCACAATAATCAACATGAGGATATAACCCACATGTCCACCAATGGAAGAATGGCTAAACCAAATGCTGCATATACATCAACGTAATGTTATCCAGCCCAAAATAAAAGAAAATTCTGGCATATGCTGCAATACAGCTGAATTGCAAAGACATTCTGCTCAGTGAAATAAGCCAGACACAAAAAGACAAACACTGTTTGATTCCACTTGGGTGAGGGACCTAGAGTAGTCAAGTTCATTGACACAGAAAGTAGAATGGTGGTTACCAGAAGCCTGGAGGAATGGAGAGTTCGTGTTCACTGGGTCCACAGTTGGAGTGTGGGATGTTAAAAAGAAATTCTGGAAATCTACAGTGGTGATAGTTCCACATCAGTGTAAATGCACTTATAGTCACTGAACCGCACACTTAGAAATGTTAACAATGGTAAGTTTTATGTTGTGTATATTTTAAAACATGCACAAAAAAACAAACATTCTGCACATACCCGCAAGGCCTCACCCTTTCATGAAAGCATAAAGTCATGCTTGTTACCATTCAGATCCAATCTTTGAATGGGCAGGCACAGCCATTGATTGATTTTAAAAAGAAAAACAACAGCCAAATATATGAATTATGACCTAGTACAGCTTTTTTGGCAGACCCAATCTTGCAAAGCATGGCATCTTTTGGGGGGAAATAAAACAAAAGGGGCCTTGGTGGAAAGGTTGGCCGAGGTGAGCACTCTGTTCTCCCCCCGCTATAAAGGCTGTGATTTTGTGGTTGGGGAGGGCATGCTAAAGGAGAAACACACGCCAGAGGAGAAACCAGACGGTGTCTCCGGACAGATCCCCCCCAGCCACAGGGACCAGCGTTGGGGTTTGAGATGGCCCTTTCTCCAGCCAAATTTTAGAGCCTGGAGACAGAGTTCTTCACAATTAGCAGCCAGAAACTCTCTGGCCTATGTGACACTTAACAAAGAACACCAGAAATGGGGACCATCGGTGCACTAGCTAATGAGGGACAGGATGGCCTACCCTCTTCAGAGACCCTCCTTCATCACCCCTGGATACCAGGACCGGGCTGTCGGGGGCCTGCCCAGTACATGGGTTATGGATATTGTGCACAGAACTATTTAGTCTGGATATTACAAAAGTAGACACAAGAGATGCCCATCTCCCAGACTGACAGCTTGAAGGACTCCTAGCTTCATGAATGTTCTGGTTCACCGTCAGGCAGAAAACCTTTGTAGGAAGTCTGGTTCTCCTCCCCATTAGGCCCAATCCACTTCCCTGAGCAGCAGTGTGGGAAGAAACCAACAGAAGACAGATTCTAATCCAAATCCTGCCACTCTGTGGCCTGTGACCTCGGGCCCTTGTGGCCTCGGTTATTCTGTCTGTGGAACGGTGACAACAACCTTGTTCACATGGATCCAACAAGACAGTGTCTGGGGACATGCTCAGAGAACGTACTATACAAGCCCTCCAAAGTTTCATCTGCTCCCTTTGTCCAGTACTTCGAGGGTGTAAAACAGGGTTAAGTCATTGTGTGTCCCTTACAAAAACCAACAAGCCTCCGAGCGGCATTCTCTGGACTGAGCCCTGGAAATAGTCATTTGCCAAACACGGACATTCTAGCAACATCGTGTTTTCTACAGAGAGGAGGGGGGAAACGTCCAATGAAGTTCAGGTTATCGGGGCCATGCAGCGATCACTGAGGCAATCCCATTTCCTCCCACCTCCCCGAGAGAACCTTCCTTTTTTCAAGGTGATGCAAGTGTCCTGAGTGATAGAAAAAAACAAAGGGCTTCCTGGTCTCCACCTGTTTTCAGAGGACAGGCGCTATCTGTACCAGGGAAAGGTGTAGAGTTTGACCTCTAGGAGGCCCTGAGGCCACCTGAGCTCTGATTGGCCAACTCCCTGTGGGAACCCGGCAGCGTGGGAAGGCTTTGTGCTCCCAGCTCCAGTGGGCTGATGTATTTCCAGAAGCAGAAAGTAGGTACTGCACTTTCCCTTCCTCCTGTCCGTGAATAAGTAAACAGAGGCCTCCACATGGCCTGACATCTGTCTGTCACCTTGAAAGTTCGGGGGTGGGGTGAGGCTAGGTGATAGCAGGGGGCCTTATGAGGAGAGGAGGGAGGACAGTACCCCCTCTTCTCTCCTCGGGGCAGGGACCCAAAGGGCAAGACCCAGAGTGTCTGCAAAGGACACTCCCTGTGCAGCTGCTCATATGTGATGTCCCGTTGTAGGACTCTGGGAAAAAGAGAATGGCCCAGAACACGTCTTGGAACAAATCTACAGGGAATGGGCAGGAGAGGCACACCGTGTTCTCCTAGGAGAGGGTGAAGCAGAGGTGCTTAGGTAACACATAAGGGATTCCAGAATACGAACACGACGTGACAAATGGGCAGGACAACTTTCTTGTTGCTCTTTCCCAGCCATGTCCCTATGATTCACCCATTTCACCTTAACGGGCCCTCCTGGAGACTGCTGGAGATGTCCCTCCAGGCCCTGGCGTCAGGCTCCCCGGAGATTCCCCCACTGAGAGCCCAGGCTAGCCACACCTCCTCTTGGGTCTTCAGTTTCGCATCCGCATCCGTAGATGGGGAAAGAAGATCTTCCAAAGCGTTGTGAGGATTCAGCGAGAGGGTGTGTGCGGAGTCCGACAGGGGAGGAAGGGTTTGCTGAGAAGTCGGCTCCTTCCGTCTCTCTGAGGTGGAAAGAGACCAGATAGCTCTAGCCGCTGCCGCCACCGTCCTGCGGGGGAGAAGGAGGCATGCGGCACCGCTTCCCCTCACAACCCCCGTTGCTATCCTGTCCAGGCACCCCACCCCGTCCCCTCGGGGGACCCCCACCCCGGGATCAAGGGCCCGCCCTCCCAGTACCACTCAGATATCCCACGCCGGTATGGTGAGGGGCAGGTGGCCGCAGCCAGGACCCTCCCCGGCCAAGCCATGATGGGCCACCCGGCCCCCGCGCAGGGGGAGGCGGCCAGAGCGGGCTGCCCCGCTGCTCTGGCCGGACTCGGAGGGCAGGCCCGAGTCGTTGGGCTGCCCCTCGGCGGAGAGCCGGGCGCGCAGGAGCTCCCTGGGCAGCGGCTCGGAGTAGGCCTCCCTGGGGCCAGCCCACGGCGGCAGGCAGAGCTGCGCGCGGAAGGCGGCCTGGAAGCCGCGGCGGAAGTTCTCGTTGAAGTAGCCGTAGATGATGGGGTTGGCGCTGCTGTTGAAGAAGGCCAACCAGTGCGCGAAGGGGAAGGCGTAGACGGTGACCAGGTGCAGCTGCGGTTCGCTGAGCTGGCCGTAGTCAATGAGCAGCAGCAGCGCCCAGAGCGGCAGCCAGGACAGCGTGAAGACCAGCGCCACCATGACCAGCATGTGCACCACCCTGGCCCTGCGCCGGGCCCCTGGGCGGCCTTGGGGCGCAGTCTCCCCGCCGGCGCGCGCGGGCCCGGAGGCCTTGCAGAGCTTGCGAGCGATGCGCGCGTACATGAGCACGATGAGCGCCAGCGGGGCCAGGTAGATGTGCGAGAAGAGCACGGTGGTGTAGACCCGGCGCATGCCCTTCTCGGGCCAGGCCTCCCAGCACGAGTAGAGTGGGTAGGAGCGGTTGCGGGCGTCCACCATGAAGTGGTGCTCCTCGCGCGTGACGGTCAGTGTGACGGCCGAGGGACACATGATGAGCAGGGCCAGGGCCCAGATGACCGCGATAGCCACCAGCGCCTTGCGCACGGTCAGCTTCTCGCGGAAAGGGTGCACGATGCAGCGGAACCTGAGGGCAGGGAGGAAAGAGAAGCCAGCTCGCCACCGGCCCCAGGGTCCCTCTCTCCCCACCCCCAAGAGGGGTGCGGGGGTGGGGGGGAAAGCTACCCCTGGTGGGAGCTGGAGGTGTGTGGGCACCGTCAGCAGCTTCCAAGGGCAGCTCAGGAAGTTCAGGTTCTTTGGCAAGCAAGTTGGTTCTCATCTGCAAGGGAGTCGGTATTGAGGAACAAAGGCAAAACCAGGAAGGGAGAAGGAACTGCGGGAGATGTGGGAAACAATCCTGTCTGTGCACTTCAGGGGCGTACGCTGATTAGCTGGCAGCTAGCAAAAGGATCAGCCTGCACATTCTGTCCTCGAGTAGGCTGATTAGGTAGATGCATCAAAGAACATTTTTAGCTGTTCAGGGATTCTCCAGAAAACCCCTGGTGTTCAGGGACCGACTCTACATGACGGGCTGTCCCTATGTCATCTGGGCCAGCATCCTTGCCTGCCTCCCATGCTCTGGGGAAAAATGCCCAGAGGAACTCTTAGTGCAAGAGTTCACGGAGGTGGATGAGGGCAGGAGGACCTGTGGCATGCATTTGAGTCAGTTTTATTGTTTGCGAAGCTTCCTTGACCCCTGGCTCCATTCCATTAACCCACTCATGCTAATCAGATAATCTGATGCAATCAGGGGCTGGAAGAGACCAGAAGTAGCTTGAAGTAAGCGTCGATGGCGAGCTAGGAAGGCCTGGGCTGCCAGGGACCAGCAAGGAGGCTGCAGGTGGGCTTGGGAGGAGTAGGGAAGGGCAGTGAAGGAGCAGGGCCACACTCTGACCACACCCCCACACCCCCACCCTGAAACTGATTTTCCTTGCTCAGACTCATGGGTGGCAAGATTCTATGCTCAGGAAACAAGGACTGCCCTCAAGCTCTCATAGGACCTAGGAAGCCCTAGTAAACCTTCACAGGAGCTGCCTCCCAGCCTTCTAAACGGAGGTGGTGGTATTCTTTGCAGGTCCCCTAAGTGTAGAGGGCAGCCAGCCCCACAGCCCCTCTCTTTACGGTTCACGGTTCAGTCCCAGCCTCCTGGTCGGCACAACAGTGGAGATGGTGACTCTTCCTAGTGCTGGGCCCCTGTCGGCCGAGGATGCCCCGGCCAGGAGCCCTCTCACCTTTCCACAGCAATAGCCACCAGTGTGAACACGGATGCCGACACGGACATGCCCTGCACCAAGCCGCTCATCTTGCATGTGGCGTTGTCAAAGGGCCACCCTGCAATGACAGAGTCCACGGCAGAATGAGTGTCTCATCCACAAATGGAGACCTTGGGCCATTTAGGCCAGTCCCCTCTGTGGCTCCTATCTTTCCTCCATGTCCTGCCAGGTGGTCATCCTCTGCTTACGCACTTCCAGAAGCGACAAACTGACCAGTCTATACCACTGTGGTCAGTTCTCACTGTTAGAGAGACAGTCTTTATATTGACTAGTGATTTCTCTCCAGGAGCTCTGTACCCAGCCAGGCCTAGTCTGGCTTTCTGCTCCCATAACCCTGCCTCAAGTTCTAGGCCAGCAGTTCTCAACCCTGGCCACTCACTAGAATCACCTGAGGGCTTTGAAAACAGCCAGTGCCCTGACCATGCCAGACCAATTACAATCAGCATCTCTAGGGGTGGGACCGGACATCAGTACTTTTCAGATCTATGCAAGGGATCTGAGTGGCGGCCAGAGTTGAGAACCACTGGGACTGAGTGAGCCTGACTCCCAGGTCGGGGAGACACTAAGCAGATCTAGCCTCGCCGGTGTCTTGCTCTGATTCCCAGGCTTTCGCTCTGTCCAGAGACCAGGACTTGGCCTCAGGACTGATAGCGGATCCACATTTTGGTTCCTTGAGGCCATGTATTGGTCACTGCCTCGTGTCTCTGCCCCTGTAGGTCTGGGGGTCCCACCTATTCTGTCTGTTGTGCCTGGCCACAGGAGCCATCTCCCAAGGCTGGTCCCCCTTTCCCCAGCAGCCACCCCCAGTTACCTTTCTGCCTGTGTGCTTGCTAAGAGTGCCAGGCACTGTCTCGCTCCATCCTCCCGACAACCTTAATGTGACCTCTGTTTACAGATGAGAGAGCTGAGGGGTCATGAGTTAGTTGGTTTCCCATCTCTTTGCCCCTGAATCACTATGGGTGAGTGTGAGAGTTTGGTGTGGGTGCTGGGGAACATCACGAAAGCCCACATCACCATGAAGAGCATCTGATTCTGTTTTAGAAAAGCAGGAACGTGCAAATGCCCTGATTCGGCAAGTCCTCTCCCAAGTTCATATCCCAGACGCATTCCCTCATAGTCCAACTGTTCATAGTGCTGGAGAGTGGGAGGCAGTGGTGTGCTGGTAAATCAGCTCTTAAAAAAAAATTAAATTTAAATTTAAAAAACGCTCTGATTTATAGCATTTGCCAAGTCCAATACCTCCCCACATGGCCAAGTTCCTACTACCACCATGATGTCACTGACCCAGGCAGCTGGCTTTAGCCCACCACTGAGTAGAGGACACTGGGTGTCCATCCCTAGGAGACCAGAGGGTAAAATGGGGCAGAAGCACCCCCCATCCAGGAGCGCAGCAGGGAACTCTTAGCAACAGCAGGTGAGATGTCCACAGGGCAAAGTAAATAGAAGCCTTAGTGGCAAAGGCCAGAAAAAGAATGAGTGCTGTAACACCAAACCACACCATCAAATTAACAACAGACCCACAAGAATAACTAGGAAAACACTGACCCAGAAAAATGACAAGGGAGTAGTTGGGGGGTGGAGACGGGAGATGACCTTGTTCTTTATCTTGACTGCGGTGGTAGCGCCATGACTGTGTATGGCCCTCGACACCTGTGGAACTGTCCACAAAAGGAAGAGGATTTGTGTGCATATTAAATTGTACCTGGACAAGAATATTTCAATGTAAAATGTGCACACATTTGCGATGCACAATTTGTAAGAAGGCATACAAGTAAAAAGACATACGTTATGTTGAGTAGAATGTTTGCCTAGAGGGCAGGGAAGGGAATATATAGTCGGGTAGGGCCACAGAAGGGAAAGGATAAAAAATAAATGAGGGTCTTTACAACAGAATGAAGTTACATAGCACCGGGAGCAGCAGATGTAAATAATTCAACCTTTTGCACCTTCCTTCCAAAAAAGAAAAAAGAAAAGCTAGCTGTACAAAGGTTTGTTCTATTGCAGAAGATTCCATTAAAAATAATCTAGATACCCATCAGAAAGAGACTGGCTAAATAAGTTATAGTACGTTCATACAATGGAATGCCAGGCAGTGGCAAAAAGAATGAAAAACTCTTTTATTTATCAATATGGAATAACTCCATGTAAACTGATGTTAATAAATCCTATTTACAATCTACACGCTATATTTTTAAGCTGGAAAAAAAAGTAAAGATGCAGAACTGACTGTTTTGGAAGCCATTGTGTCCTTAATTTGCTTGTTCTTGCATAAAAGTACTTTTAGAAAGAGGGGCACCTGGGTGGCTCAGTCAGTTAAGCATCTGCCTTCGGCTCCGGTCATGATCCCGGGGTCCTGGAATGGAGTCCTGCATTGGGTTCCCTGCTCAGCGGGGAGCCTGCTTCTCCCTCTGTCTGCCGCTCTCACTGCTTGTTTGAGCTCTCTCTCTCTCCATCAAACAAATAAAGTCTTAAGAAAAGATACTTTTGGAAAGCGACACAAGAAATTGGCCATATTGATTTCCTCCCAGGAGAGAAGCAGGGAGGACAGAGGACAGGGACGGAAGCCACATTTTCCTCTGGAAACCTTTTGATAGTTTTTGACGATTGAACCATGTGAATGTGTTATTCCAACAATTTTTTAAACGTAGACGGGTGAAAAGGGCTGGCAGACACCTCTGTAACCAACTAATGGCCTTACCATGTCATTGTTAACTAGTGCGTGTGTACGTGCGTGCCTCTAGGTTGTGCACCTCTGTGTGTGTGTGCGTGCACGCCTATGTGTAGGTCTAGGTGTGCTGGGAAGGAGAAAGATGAACAGTTTATGTTCAGCAGCGCTGGCGGAACCTGAGATCCAGCTGTGAGTGACGGTCCCTCCAGACAGAGCCAGCGCACTCAAGGGAAAGCTGATGGCTCTGGCTCTACTTCCTGGATCCTGAAATCTACAAAAACCCAGGCTGTGACTCCTCTGCCCCAAAGTCAGGTAAGTCACTCCCACTGGAGCGATCCAGGCTCTGCAGCTGAGCTCCCCGGCGCTCAGAGCTCAGAGCCCACAAGCTCAGATCTCTAGGCATCTCCATGGCTCTGGAAACTAGTCCTTCCCCAACTAGAGTCTCAGGGTCTGAGTAACCTTATTCTGAAACAAGAAAGACTAAATCACATGAGAGAGAGTAGACGACAGTGTGAGCCTTCTGACATTTGTGGGATGAACAGGCAGGAATTTAGAGGTTAAGTGGTCTAGTTCTGCTTCAATTCCTTCTACCAAATCACTGCTGAATGGCCAGCCAGTCTCTACTTGGACACTCCCAGTGACAGGGAGCTCACTACCTGCAGGACCGAACTCTCTTTGGTTGGAGAACAACTCAAATAAGTGGATTATTAAGTCCATGTTCAGAGGAAACCTGTGGGTTCTAGCTCTGCCCAGAGGAGCTACCCAGGAGAGTAAGACTGAATGGTGTAGTGGTTAGAAATACGGGTGTGAGGACATGGGACTGGACACTTAGCTGTGTAACTACAGACCTGTCCCTCATCACTCTGAGCATTAGTTTGCCCATCCCTTAAAATCAGGATAATAATAACAACGCATAATTCATTGGATTGGTATGAGGATTAGTTAACGATGGAAGAGTAAGTCATACAACCGCCATGAAGAGAATAATTAATTCATTGTATCTGTTATTTCTTAACCTAATCCCTCAGCCACAAGACTGTCTGGGGAGTTTGAGACAATGACATCTTGGCCAAGAGACCAGGCCAAGCAATGATTTCGGGGGTGGCTCCCGCTGCCTCCCTCCCTTGCCTCCACTCACCAGTGATGAGGTTGTCCACGAGGGTAGTGGGCATACAGAAGATACCCACCAGCAGGTCGCTGACGGCCAGGTTGAGGATGAACATGTTGGTGACAGTGCGCATGTGCCTGTTCTTGAGCACGATGAAGCAGACCAGGGCATTGCCCACCATGCAGAGGAGGAAGATGAGCACGTAGGCCACAATGAACATGGCTGCCACTGGGGAGGAGTGCTGGTAGTAGGAGGAGAAGGTGAGATTTGCAGCTGGGGTGGCCTGGGCCTCACTCGTGTTCTGGCTTGGGGGCCAGCTGCTGTTAGGAGGCTGGGAGGGCTCCCCTAGAAGCAAAGGAGCATACTGGTCAGGATCGTAGGCAAAGAAGAGATGACTGACTTCTTGCTCCTGGTGATACTGTCCTGTGCTCCAAATCCCGACCATGCCCCAGTACCCCAATTAGGGGCTCAACTGCAACAGCCACTGAATGCACTTTCAACCCACAGCACCAAAACCCTGATCTCATACCTTTGCCTCCTCCCGTCCAGAACTCGTTTCCCAATGCTGGCTCTTCTCCATTCCCATAAGGCCCACCCTGCTGCCCCATCTGGGCTCTGTCCTTGTTAGCCCTGCTGTCTGCCCCAGAGGCTGACCTCTAAGAACTACATCGACCAGGTTCCCTTGCCCTCTGGTTTCTGACCCCGTTCAGCCAATGGAAAGCACTGAAGGAGATTGAGGGACGGGAGAAGACAGACATCAGGGCATTTGTCTCCCGACTCCCTCCCTGCCTGGCCCAGTTTTGCCTGCGGGGCTGTCTTTACGGATACAGCTCCTATTAGGTGACCCTATCCCATGACTCCAGCTCTTCTGGGGCCAGAGTGACACCATGTTCTCTCCTTGCACCACAGCTTCCTGTGGTTCTCACTGCCAGTCCTTGCCCATTGCTTGCTGGTTCTCACCCTCCCCTCTCCCCTGTAAAGTCTCTCTCTTAGAGTCTTCTGAGCCTACCACCTGTTTTCTCCTGAAACAGTCTCCTGACTATTATACCCTCAAAATCTTTGTTGTCCCTCCTCAGCTCCTCCACAGAATTTTAGCTGGGAAAGGCAAGAAGGCAGTAAAGGAAGGGCTAATGGAAGAGGACTCTGAACCTGGGTAAGGAGCGAAGGCACACACGAAATTTACCAGAAGACCATCCAAAGCCAAGGCTACCACGCATCCTTCACTCTCTCCCACCATGGTCTCTATAGCTTCATTCGCACAGCCTTTAACAAAACACTTACAGATGCATTATTTTGTCTAACCCTCCCAATTTACCCTTGAGGGAAACCTGTGAGGTATGGGCCCCATTTGAAATGGGAGAACTGAGATCAGAGGGGTTCTTCTACATTCTGCTGGGAGCTCGGGAGTATGTCTCCGAGGTGGTCCCGCTCCGTGTGTCTCTGGATCCCATCCAGGCTTTAGCAGGTGCCTACCCAGCCACCTGTGGGAAGGAGCAGTTCCAGGTCTGACCACAGCTCCTCTGGGAAGCCATTAAATGTGGTGACTCATGATATCGTCTCATAAACTCTCCTCCCGCCTTCCTCTGGGACTAGATGTAGCCTGTTCCAGGGGATGAAGAGTATTCTGTCACATCCAGAGCTCAGCCACTAGCCTGGAGACCCATCGGAGGCTTGGGATCTGGAGGCTAGAGACACTCTGGGGCCAAGGAGCTGGCATGACCAGGGCTGGAGGGCCCAGCAGGAGCAGCAGAGGGGAGTGGGGGAGCAGGTGGAGGGCCTGCTGGTGGAGGTGGAGATGCTGCGGGCTTTTGGGGCACAGTGAGAGAAAGAGGTGCCAGCCCCCCTGCTTAGCCGCTCGTGAGCATCCAGTTGCCCCCAAATACCTTTATGTTACTACGGAAGATGTCAAGCGTGGACAAGAGAGAATGGTATCATGGACATACACAAGAGTATGCAGCTTAATGAACTATTACAAGAGAGAAGAGTATAAAGACCTCCCACGCATACATCCTCTACCTTCAACAACGATCAGTCCAAGGCTAATCTGATTTCATCCTAACCCCCACCTCTCTTTGGAATAGCACATCACCTCCTTTCATCCGTCAACATTTCCATTCCTATTGCTAAAAGATAGGACTAAAAAAACCTTCATATAACCGGAGTATCAGTGTTCCACCTAACAAAATTGACAACGATGTCTCATATTATCAATTGCCCAGCATCCAGCTTACAAATTCCCTGATCACTGGATAATTTTTTTACAAGGTTGTTTATTTATTGTAGTAATCTCTATACCCAACGTGGGGCTTGAACTCACAAACCCGAAATCAAGAGTCCCATGCACTTCCGATGGAGGTGATCCCATTAGCTGTTCACCAATGGTTTTGGCAGCAGCCACTAAGGATTATGACCTAGACCCCTCACTGTCCAAGCTCTGACTTCGACTGCCCAGATGTTCTGTGCTCTGATTCCTGCTGCCACCTCTGACCTCGCCCCCTGCCACATACCCGTTTGCCCACTCCACTCTGGACACCTTGCGCTGGCTCCTACACACACCTACTTTCTCCGGCCCCAAGGATTTTACCCCTTTCTATTGCTCCTGCCTCCTCCTCCCCTTTACCTCTCGGCTTAGACTACGCTGTCTTCTCAGAGAGAAGCCTGACCCGGTTGCTCTATTTCAAGTAGGTGCCTTCCTATTTGTTATCTTTCTCAACGTCTTCTTTCTTCTCCTCCAGCTGTCAATATTTTCTTTGTTTTCAGGTTGACTGGGATTTCTTCCCCACCCTTGAAAGTCAGGTCCTGAAGAGCAGTTGGCAGCTGAATCCCCAGGGACTCATCAATGCCTGCCTATCATCAGTGGTTCAGTACATGGTTGGTGGATGGATACATAGTTGCATGAAGGGAAAAAGGAAGGGAAGATGGACTCTGAAACCAGGTAACAGGTGACATGCTGGTGTTGGAAGGCCTTTAGGGGCTCCTCTGGAAGGAACCCCATCCCAGAGTCTGTTGGGAGCTTCTCCGGGCAACTCACACCTCCTGAGCCCCAGATCAGCTCAGGATCGGTCCCCATGATTCAAAGAAATCTGCACGTGTGCGCATGTAGAGGAAATTGACACAATCTGCCTCACGAGACTCCAGTCTGTCTGTCCCTGCCCTTCACTTGGCCTCAGAAAACTGCTTAGGGAGCTCATATTCTGCACTCTGTCCTGAGAAGTGCCTAGGAGTGACTCTGCCCATCTCTAGACACTCCTCTGGGCTAGGTGTCTGTCCCCACCCTCAGTGCCAGTTGTAGCATTGCAGAATGTTCCTTTCTTGGGGAGGATTCCTAGCAACTCTCCTGGGTTGGGGTGAGCTGAGCTGGGAGCAGGCAGCCCTCTGACCCCAGTGGATCCATACCAGCATCCAGAGACCTCATTAACACCCTGGACTTGCCCTTTCTGGACAAGGGCCCTTGTGGATACATTAAAGCTGGTGAAAATCTTATCCACTGAACCCAATTAAGTCATTCCCCTACCCCAGGAGCTTCCTGGAGGTCTCAGGATATAATTGTGGTTGCCTCCAAGGCATTCTGATGATCTCAGAGAGCCAGCAAGCCCTGGGCCATGGAAAGCCCAGGGCCAGAGAGATGATGGGGGTACACTGATACCTCCGTGGGTGGTCCCGGCCAGCAGCATCTGCATTGCGAACTTAGAAATGAAAGGATCTCGGGCCTCACCTCTGATCTAGGGAACCTGAACCCAACTGCTTTAACACATCTCCCAGGTGATTCTGATAGCACACTCCAGTTTGAGAACCACAGATTCAAAGGGCTTGGACCAAAGGCTCTGGAAATAGTGGACACACCCCAACTGGGAAGTCCCAGTCCTCTTTCCTGTCTCCTTCAGGGTGCTTCCAGGTAACTGACTGTGTCCACTCTGTGTCCCCTCAAAATTCACAAATTGAAACCTACTCCCCTGTGGGATGGTATTTGGAGACGGGGCCTTTGGGGCGAGGTTAAATTCCACTGGCAAGCTGTCATGAATGGAATTAGCACCTTTATGAAGGAGACCCCAGGGAGCTCACTGGGTATACAGCAGAAAGAGGGCTGTGTGTGAACCAGGAATTGGGGGCTCACCAGACATCAAATTTGCACCTTGACCTTAGACCTTCCAGCCTCCAGAACGGTGAGAAACAGGTTTCTGTTGTTTTGAAGCCCCTCACACCAGTATTCTGTCACAGCCTGCCCAAAGGACTGAAACATCGCCTCCCCTCTGGGGGAACTCAGGGTTCCCATCTTGAAAATGGAAACACACAGTTCCTGGCTAGGACCTAGCACAGGGCACGTCTCCTCTCTGGAAATCAGAGTTCTGGTAAGATGGGGATAAGCTCACACGAACGAAAAGAGGTGCGGTGAGAGCCAAAGAGATGATGGGCGAGAAGACCTCAGTGCCCCATGCACTTTGGCTCCTAACCAACAGTATCAACAGTGTCAACAACACAACTGTGAGGACGAGATCTTTATGATGCTCTTGGTCTGGACCTCCCCGCCAAGCCCAAAAGATGTGCGGGAGAGAAAACACCACCAAAACCACGGTCCTGAGCACAGAATCAGACTGGGTATTTGCTTCCGGGAATTCTCAGCAATTCCCACTAATAAAGTCATCGTTATCGCCACCTGCTGATCTCTCCTGGTACCACAGGGAGCTTCACCCCCGGCCAGAGACCTGGGGCTCACCATTCAAGAGCCACTTCCTGAGAGCCTCCTAGGGGACCTCGACCTGGATGGAGAGGCGCCAGGGACCTGCTGAAGGCTACAAGGCAGAAACAGCACAAATGGCTGATAAACGCGTAAGACAAAAAGTTTAAATTCGTGATCCAAAAAAGGCAATTTTAAAGAACAACGTTTTCATCGATTAGATTGTCAGAGAAGAAAAGTGCTCAGCGATGGTCAGGGGGTGACTGTGCCCTGGGGGGACGGTGGGGGGCACAAAGCCTCTCAACCCTTGGCAGCTGGGGCACATCCATCCAGCGCCCTGAAAAGGGACCTGCTCCGGGATCCAGCCATTCCACTTCTAGGGACTTCTCCCAGGGGATAAGATCTGATGGTGTGGGAGGAAATACTGAACCTGGGTTGTAATAGCTACAAAATAGTATATATTATAAATCTGGATTCTATGTAAAAGGGTGTGTACGTGTGTGTGAACAAATGACAAAAAAAAAAAAAAAAAGGAGAATAGTATTTATCCACAAGGAGGTTTCAAGTGATTTTTATTTTCCTGTTCGCTAACTTGCATTCTGACCTTTCTAATCAGAAGGAAGCTCTGATAAGTGTGATTTTAAACTGACTGCATCAGTGGTTCTGAACT